GCGGTCTACTGCCCCATGCCCTGCCTCCGATCCAGCCATCTTGCCTACCCAAAGGCAGACTGATGTGATGGAGGCGAGTCGGGCAAACTTCGAAGGGTCTGTAGAAGGGGATGCGGGAGTTGCTCCCGCTGAACCGCTATGGACCCAAGTAGTAGGAAGGAAGGCTGTGGTGAAGAGGAGGGAGGATGCGGCATCCAAGCCCAAACCCCCACCCACGGCGAGCAACCAAAAGGCAGCAAAACTGCGGTCGAAAGTGCCGCGAACAGAGGCCGTGGTGATCGGCCCTCTTAGGGAAGGTCAAAAGTACGCCACGGTGATGGGCGCAGCCATGGCTGCGGTTGATCTTCAGGCCCTGGGCATCCATGTGTCCGGGACCCGGAGAACTAAGACGGGGGCTGTCCTCTTGGAGGTCCGAGGGTCAGCTGAGCAAGCTGACCTTCTGGCGACCAGATTGAGGGCAGCCCTGCAGGAGATGGACGTGCGAGTGCACCGTCCCTCAATGACCTGCACCGTCCTCCTCCTAGACGTGGAGGAGTGGCAGGATGAACAGGATGTGCACAAAGCACTGAGCGCCGCCCTGAATTCTCCGAATGGAGAATTGCCGCCGAATGCAGGACCTATTACGGTCCGCACGAACGTCGGCGGTAAAGGGCGGTATGCGAGGTGCGAGGTGCCCCTCAAGATGGCTCATCGCCTGGCAGCCATGGGCCGAGTCCGGGTTGGGTGGACTACCTGTAGGCTGAGGATACTTGATAAAGGTCCTCAGTGCTACAGGTGTCTGGAACGTGGGCATATTGCCCACGCATGTAAGGGGCCGGACCGGTCAAAGGCTTGCTTCAGGTGCAAGAAGGAGGGGCACCTTTCCAAAGACTGCCCAAATAATGGAAAGAAAAAAGAAGGTCAGGTATCAAACCTGACCAAGAAGAAGAAGGAAGACGGCCTACCCCCACCTCCAAGTGGTCCAACCCGGGCAACGGACCCTCTAGTAGGGTCCGGCTAACGGGGGAGGCTACGCCGTGCTGGGATTCGGCTCTGGTGTAAACTTGGGCCGTATCTCAGCGCGGTGGTAAGAAGATGAAGGCGACGTGGGTCGCCCCGAAGCAATGCCTCACGGCAGTTCCGGGGCGGTCCACATGAGGTCGAAAGGGAGGAGGAAAAAAAAAAAAAAAA